AACTCTTTGCAACATCGTTCCCTTTGCTTGCTCCACAATAGCCAACATCAAAGGAAACAATGGGGTTGCAAGCCGCCTTCCAGCGGGTGGAACTCCCCTATGTTTCCCGCTGGATCGTACGTAAACTCGGCCCACCCCCGCACATCGTTCATGTGGCCGGCTGTTAGAGGTGGATTGCTAGTCAAAACAACACTAACGCAATAATTGACAGAACGATGACATTCGACCCATTGAGGCTCAAAGACGTACCTGGGGCTTCTTGACGTTTCACAACTTTTGTGCGTGAAGGCTTGTTTGTACTAGGTCCTCTGTGCTGACTGATTCCAAGGGCTCTTGGTCAACTGCAACATCACCACCTACTTGACTGGCAGTGCCCTCATCCCTCTAGGTCTAGCTTGGTGGCAGGCCTTCATATGTGAGTCTGATTCCTCTTTCGCTTTTCCTCAGGTCTGTTTAACGTGTTTCAAGGTATCATTCTTGGCAATCTTATTGCCACCGCCGTCGTGATTATCAACTCACTTCCGGGCAGCTACTATCATAGTACGTCCACAAAGTGCAATTTGCGACAGACTTCCGTGTGTTGCTAAGTCTACCTAGTTGGCTTTCCTGTGTTCAGTCGAGCGGTATGGGGTATGTGGGGATCACAATTCGTCATCTGGAATCGCATCTTTCTGTCCCTTGGTAAGTTTCCCTACTCGCATTACAACCACGTCACATAACGGACCATAAACTCATTCTGCCTGTCTCTAGTCTGGTTCGTAGGACCCTTAATATCAACATTGCCGGCATGTTGACCTGTACTAACACACTATAACACAGGTATGGTTTCACTGCCTGGGTGGGAGGAGAGTGCATCTACGTGATCCTTCTTTCCTGGGACCCAAGGCTTGAATCCCACATTCCCAATGGCATGCCAGCAGACACGGGTATGACAACTGCGCAATTTGTCTCGTACATCATCTTCAGCGTCATTTCTCTCCCAGTAATCTGGATCCGCCCGCATCGTCTCGAGAAATTCTTCCACTTTGCCTGCTCCATCACTCTTGTCTTTTTCATCGTACTCCTTATCTGGGCTCTCGCAACTATGGGATCCTCGGGCTTCGGAGATACCATTACCTCAGGATCTGCCCTACCAAACACAGGAGGACCAGACAGTGTGGCTTGGTTGATGATCTACGGCATCGTTTCAACAATCGGTTCCATCGCGGCGGGCATTCTGAACCAGAACGACTATTCTCGATTCGCTACACAACCTAAGCATGCCATCGTAGGCCAAGCTATCTCGTTCCCTTTCTATAGTATCTTCAGCTCTCTGATCGGCATCCTCGTCACTGCAGCGACCCAGGAGCGATTTGGTGGCGAGGCCATCTGGAACCCGCCTACGCTCTTTGCTCAGCTGCTGGCCCAGGACGAAACAGCCGGAACAAGGGCAGCTTGCTTCTTTGCGGGTCTCTGTCTCGTTATATCCCAGATCGGAGTCAACGTCCCTGGAAACGCGCTTGCTGGCGGCTTTGATTTGGCTGCGACATTTCCCAAGTACCTGAACATCCGTCGTGGCGCCTACATCACCGCGATTTTCAGCGTCGTCGTCAACCCGTGGCGTCTCGTCAACACTGCAACAATCTTCCTCACTGTCCTTTCAAGTTATAGTGTCTTCTTGGCTCCGATGACGGGATTGATGATATCTAGCTACTTGATTGTTAATAAACGCAAGGTGAACGTGGACCACTTGTACCGCGGCGATTCGGGGAGCATCTACTGGTTCTCCTACGGTTTCAACTGGCGAGCCCCAGTGGCAGTGAGTTACCTTCCATCTTTATTGAAACAGAATCACTGTTGACTCGCATTTCAGTGGCTTGTTGGTGTTGTGCCCTGCATGCCAGGCTTCATCGCCGCCGTCGACACGTCCGCAACTGTTAGTGAGGGCGCCACGGAGCTGTACTCCATGTCGTATATCTATGGGCTTCTTTCGAGTGGCTTGGTGTACGCGTTCCTGCATTGGCTTTTCCCGGCGAGAAGTCTGAATGCCTTTGTCAAAGATGCGCCCTCGGCGCGTGAACTTCAAGGAATGCAACAGAGCAAGTGGGACGTGACGCTGGCCGAGACTCCTGAACTTCTTGGAGTGCTTTCTGGGCCTGGAGCCAAGACAGCAAACTCCGCCACACCCTTCAAAGAAGATTTATAGATGCTAGAATTCACATACGCAATTTCCGTACCTGTCATAATCTTCTTAACTACCTACGTCTACCTCTATTCTCATCACTACTGTAATTCTTATCAAGCTATCTTAACCCGGCATAGTCTTTGAAACACGCACTTAGAGCTTCATAATGATGAGATTGCGAGACTTATCATGATATAAATCGTGCTTAAAGCGATGGCAAGAATGAGGTTCGCAGTTATAATATGAGAAAGGGGGTTAAACCATTGTACTGTTGACCGGCGGAGCATGTTACCACCCCTCCCTAGCGTCGCAGTGACAGGTCCCGCATGTAAGCCACTAACATTGATGACCAAAATGCGCACAGGCGGTATCGGCATCGGCCAACTGCATCGGCCAACTTCCCTCACACAATACCACCACCGTCGGCCAACCTTATCACGAACGCTTGATGGAATCGAAATTTTGATCGACACCATGCCTAAAGATACCAAAAAGTCTCCCCAAAGACGCAGGTTCAAAGTGCCGAGCGAGTTCGGCCAGGCAAGACAATCAAGAAGCCGAAAGAACCGCCCTTGTGACGCGTGCCGTAAGAGAAAGACGGCGTGTGTTATCACGTCTACACCACCTTGTAAGTCGTGTGGGTTCCCAGGTTGACGTGTCTTGAGGATGCATGACTGATGAGGTGCAGGTCTTTTCTGCAAGGGGCGAGGCATAGAATGCAAGTCATCGGCTTCGGATAGTGTTGCCTCCAGTTCGGCTCTATCTGCATCCCTGTTCGCATCCGCACCCGCCCCTCAAGATGCTGCGCAAGATGGGCCTTCCAGTAACTCGGAGTCTCCGAGAATAGCGTCAAACAACATACGCCCTTCGGCTGGTAGTGATTCAATCGAAGTGATCCCAGCACCCTACCTGCAGACACTAGAAGACAATGAAAATAGGACAGCACACAGCATGGGCCCGGCAGCCGAACAAGACACTCACTTCCTCGCCTCCTTCCGCTCAGACGTTCTCAGCGGGCCCAATCAGATTGACGCAGAATTCATTCAGGTACACGAAGGGAGCGGATATCCGTGGGATCCGCCGGTTCACTTCTGTCTCTTGCAAGACGAGTTTACAGCCCACGACAACAAAACCCGGGAAGAAGCTTCTCGTGCGATAGAGGAAATGGTTGAGCCTCACGGTCCTACGCTCGTACGCCTGTATTTCAGACACATTCATCCAGTGCTGCCTGTTCTATCCAAGGTCAGGTTTCTGAACCAATACTCCGCAGACAAGACAAAGCTTCCTGCCTCCCTTCGAGGGGCAGTATACGCACTAGCCTCAGTCTTTTGGAAGTCTGAGCCGTCACTACAAGGTTCCCTTCATTTCCAACAGCATGAGCTCGCAGACCTAGCCACAGGCTCTTTGCAAAGAGAACTCGACTCGCCAAATTTAGCCAAGCTTCAAGCATCCCTGCTCCTCCTCCACATGACGCCCAACAGGACAGACAGTATCGCGCACCCCAAAACTTGGACATCGACAGCGCAGGCCGTAGCCGCTGCCCAGATGATTGGACTGCACCAGGACGCTGAGAAGTGGAATCTCCCATCATGGGAAAAGAGGCTGCGGAGGAAGCTTTGGTGGGCTACGTATATGACTGACGTGTGGTCGGCAGTGTGCCACGGAAACCCGCCACATATCTTTGCTGCTTCTTTTAACACGTCATCCGTCACTATGGACGATCTGCGATCCGAGGAGAGCATTCCTGAGGACTTGCGATCGCTGGTTTATTCTAGTAATGTGGGATTTGATGTTGCTTCCGGAGTGCGGTTTTTGGAGTTGGTAAAGATAAGCCAGACCTTGCGAGAGGTAATTGACTGCAGTTTGTAAGTTCCTTCTTTTCCCAAAACCTCTTTTGAGTCCGAGCGTGGAAGACTGATAGGTGGCTCAGTCATATGCCCAGGCTTGCGCCCCCAGACTCACAGAAGATGGAAATGGAGAATCGAGGGCGTCTAGTCTCGCTCCAGGGAGAACTCCATAACTGGGCAACGATACTGCCGCAATGCCTCACGATGCCTCATCTCGAGGACGCAATAAGTATTATGTCCAACAATGGTATGTTTTCGAAGATGTCCCAGCGAAGATCTTGATCTGACGGGGGCAGCACCCCTACATCTAGCGTATTACGCCCACTTGGCGCTTCTTTACCGTGCCCTCATGAATCCAGCTACCAAGGTTGCCAAGGCAATACCATCATCCAGCCTTCGCCTGTGGTTCGGCACGGCACTCTCAGACTTTGCTTGTTTCACGGACTTCATGAGTGAACTAACCCCTCTGGACCTACGAGGCTTCTGGGGCTGCCGTACGTCTCCTTTCCGCTTCACCCAGACCTTTTCATAAAGTCGGGAGAATTTATATTGACATCTACACCTTCCCTAGACGCCCGCTCTCAGCTCATACTCTGCGGCAACTTCATCATTTACCTGTTTGTGCTGGCAACTGAGCCTGGAGACATCACATCAGCCTTTAAGTTGCTGGAGAGCTTTCACGACACCTTGCAGCGGTTGAAAAGACAAGTCGACTCGATCTCGGAGTTACTCCTTCTTCCGGTCAGTCTTCGGATCGACTCCTTCTTTACCCAGGCAGCCGATCGACTAGGTGGTGGGCCAGTTGCCGACAGTACAACTACTGCGATTTCGACTCCCGGAGCGGCGCCAATACCACTCATGAAAACCCCTAGGATTTGATTGGTTTTTTTTTCCAAATCATTGCGAATTATGCTGTTATTGTACACTCCGATCATTGCAAAGCCATGTCCATTCTTATGCAACCCTGAGATACCAAATCGAGCCAGAATCTAGTTCTTCTCCTCCATACCGTCCCTCAAAATCTCAATCTGCTTCTTGATCTCGACCCACAACGTCAGCTTCTTCAAGTCGCCGTCATCCTCAGCGTCATCGATAACGCCAAGCCAGTCATCCTCAAGCTGCTCCGTCAAAGCCTCAACGCTGTCACGCTTCCTGCTACCGTGGCGGTCCGAGCGTCGCGCGATGGCAAGCAGGGCGGCTACAAAGGCCTCTTGGATGTAGGCAAAGCTAAACTTGTCCGTAATCTTGGCGATGGCCTCGCAAAGCTGGTCGGGAAAGTCGATTTCTTTGTTGCTCTTGAGCTTGTTCTGCCAGAAGTGGCAGTAGGCGATGCGCTGCTCTAGGTTGGGGTCGGGGAAAAAGTATTTTCTGTCAAAGCGGGATGGGCGTTTCTGTTGCGTGTCAGTCTTCTCGAACTTGTATACACATTCGCGATAGGAATAACTTACAGAGATGCCTGGGTCGAGGCGGTCGAGGTGGTTGGTGCTGCCGATGATGAAAATTCCATCATTGGCCTTGAGGCCGTCCATCTCGTTCAGGAAATAGCTCCTCACGTCATCGGTGACAATGGTGTCGAGATCCTCCAGCACGAGGTAGCAGGGCGCATACTCCCTAGCCTTGCCGAAGATCTGCTGGATAGAGTACTCTGGCCCCATGAAGGACGCTAGCGTGCGCACGTAGAGAGTCGTGATGTCCTTCTGGAAAAGCATATTCATCGTGGCCTTGATGGAGATGGTCTTGCCATTGCCCGGCGGCCCATAGTAGATGAGACCGCGCTTCCACGGCACCTTGAGGTTTTGGTACGTCTCCTTCGAGTTGTAGAATGATAGGTGATCTTCGATGAGCGCCTTCTTCATGTCTTCATCCAGGATGACGTTCTCCCACGAAGCATCGCGGAAGCTCTTGAACAGCTCGTGGCTCTTTTGCCAGTACCCCTGATCGAACACCCACACCTCTTCGTGAAGGTCGCTGCTCCACTTCCCTGCGGCCAGAACGAGCTGGTCGACGTGGTAGGTCTGCGGCGCGAGGACATAGTAGTTCTTGATCGGATACGGCATCACGCCGTCGCGTCCATCCACGAGGTAGACGATGAACTCATGGCCCTGCCATTTGTACAGGTACTTGCCGAAATTCGTAATAGTAGCCAGACCGCCGAGGTTGCCGTCCATGCGCCGGGAGGGCGGCAGGTACAGCAGCCATTCGAGGGATGAGGGCAGGTTATTGCCATCCTTGTCATCAATAACCTCGAACGTGGCGTGGCCGCCTTGAGCGTAGGCGAGAAGGTTGCAGCCGTTGCCGTAGCCGAGGGATTCAGGAACGACGACCAGCTCGAGGTGGGGGTACTGTTCCTTGAGGGCTTTCGAGATGAGGGCGTCGGTGTTGACGCGTTTGGCGCTTGAGTGTTTGAAGAACTCCTTCGTGACGGCGTCGCTGGGGCCAGGTTCTGAGGAACGGGTGTTGACGTTGACGCGGGTGCTGCTGGTGCTGTTGCTTGCGCCAGGCTGGGGCTGGGGGTGGGGCCGACGGGGGATCGTGGTCGGGTTGTAGGACGGGTGCTGGAAGGCATCCTGGCTCCAGATATCGTGGGGAGGCATGGGGAATGGAGGCATCTTGTCACTTAGCCGTCCGGCGTCCGATGAGCTGCGACGGGTGGTTTGTGTGTTGTGGGATGTGACGAAGGTACGGATGGGAGATCCGAGGAAGCTGTTGGAGATCGAAAGTTGGGGTGAGACGAAGGGGTTGGAGAGCTGAAGGGAGCTAAGATAAGCTCAGCTGCGGAGCTGCGGGGGAGGGGGTCACTTGTTGTTCGCCTCAGGTTGGAGCTGATGAGTTGTACAGCGAGTACATACAGACTATGCGTATGGAGGAAGACAAACACAGGTCGTTAACTTGTTGCCTAGAGGTGTTCGTAACCGGCGGAACGTCTGGGCCGGGCGAGCTGGTCTTGCTGGGTGCCGTTTGGGGAAGTTGTCTGGCTGTACCACCGGCCCTGTGGTGGGATGACGTTGTACCATTCGTCCATTCGTTCATCCTCCGGGGCGAACAGCCAGGGGGAGCTGCTGCGCCACCGTTCGTGTTCGTCAACAAGGGTATCCCGGGCGTCGCGGGGTGTCACAAGCAGCTTGGCGCCTGGAACCGGCCGATGGGGAGCTTCATCGTTGTGCTCTATCTAATCTACCACTCTCCCTAGCCTATTGCTGCTAAATTCAATCCAACATCGGCGATATTAGTCTTAAGGCGCAAAACACTCGAGTGTTGGCAAATGACGTGGGAAAGAGTAACATGTACCAGTAACCGAACTAAGGAAGGGCAAGTCAGCCTCGATCGTGTGATTCGCAAGGTGTCAATCAAGGTGTGACGAAACTTATAGACCACGAGGTACACAAGCCTATGCCTAGTCCTCATTGGCTCGAAAACAGACTATCCTTGGAAGAGCTAACTCGATTAGACACAGGATAAGTATAACTAACTACACAGTACTTCTCTTCTCTCTAAGTAACTTTGATTAGGTAGTCACAGACTATTACCAGTTTCCTTCGCGATCGCCCTCAATCGAGGCGTTTTGTGCATAAGAGAAAGGCACTAGTAGATAGCACGGTATAGCAAGGTTCACTCCAAGACTGATTATTTGTTTTTTCCTCTAGCAAGGATGGTTACTACCTCTAGAATCAGGGCTGCATGTTTCCCCTCAATGCCGGTGCAGTCCGAAGAAATGCTATTGCTCCTTCGAATCGTCTAGTTTCACCGCATAGGTAAGGTAAGCACTAATGAATTCCTCGAGGGATACAACGGTGGGATGGCTGAGCGTACAGCAGACACTCGTCAGATACATCGACCTTTTTGTCCTATCAATGTACTGCTTTGGGGCACATCTTGTGTCAGGGTATCATCACGGACACCGTCCCTATGCAACCACAAGCCAAGTGTACGCCATTTCTGCAATTGTTGAAATTCTGCTCAATTGGTTGGAGGCACTATAACAGAATGCTGCACTTCGCCAAGAAATCCTGCATTGCTTTATGGGCTACATACTAACCTTTCTCACCACAAAGGAATCGTCTTACGGCCTTCCCCAAGCCTCGTTGGCATCCGCATATCCCGGATACTCTTTCGAAGATGCCGGTCAATATGACCTGCAGGTTGCTGCGAGAACGTCCGTGGTACTCGGAGAGCACACATGTATACTCGACTGGAGGTTTCATCCTCTATGGAAGGATGTCGGATAAGATATATCATCTTACCCCTCCCGCTGCCCTTCCTCGGGTTGCAAGTTTGGTGTAAAAAGTTCAACGAGAACTAGGATCCAGAAGGCGAAAGCAAACAGTGGTAAACGCCATGATGGAGCTACCAGATAACCCTCCAAAGGTCGACATCAGGAGGGATATTTACGAGACGCTCCCTAATACGGCAGAATTAATAGACAACTGGGACATGATCAAGGCCGAGGAGATCGCAAACGACGTGGTATCGGGCTTCTCAAAGGCTCTTCAGCAGCGCCAGCACCATGCCATCGAAGCCCTCTTCGCCGAACCATCCTGTCATTGGAAAGATACACTATCTTTCACAGCTCACATCAGAACTTTCAATGGCAAAGGTGCCATTGCATCGGCTTTACTGGAACTCTTCGCGCTTCGCGAGGCCCAAGGCTTTCAGTTTCAGAAGGCGCAGGTTTTGTCGGCCACCAGTGAACTTGTCAGTACAGGGAAACAACCTTCGGTGTTTTACCCCGGTGCTGATTTACCCTCCTCTAGAAATGGCTCGACTGTGAATTCAGCTTCATGACTGGATCTCCCAAGGCTTCCTGTCGAGGAAAGATGATGCTAATTCCTAGCGGCCGTGACTCGGGCGACAACGAATGGAAGATTTGGTCCATGAGCACATACCTCTCCGAGTACGAAGACTTCCCCGAGGATGAGGGTCTGCTCAGAGTCCCTTCGACTCCTGTGACGGACGCAAGCCATATCTCTACGAGTGTGCTGGTTGTCGGTGGGGGCAACGGGTGAGTCCCCAAGAGTCTATTTAATCTGTTACCTGCATTTAACAAACACTCCTGCAGAGGTTTGATTCTGGCCGCTCGATTGAAGGCCCTGGACATTGACTACGTCGTGATCGACCGGAATGCAAGGGTAGGGGATAATTGGGCGACGAGATACGACTGCATGCGTTTCCACGTCTACAAGTCATTCTGCGAGACACCGTACATTCGTAAGTAATATCAAGCTCGTAGAGACAAACTTGTATCTTATAGTCATTCAAACACTGGCGGACGTATTGGATGAGGATGGGGACGAAGGAGGCAAGACCGTAACCCTAACCCTAGGGCGATCCTCGGCGCTTCGTCACCTTCTTACGCCAACGAGAAATCTCCTTACTCAAATCTCGTGGTCCGAATCAGTGAAGGGACTCTTGAATCATTACTAACAGTTTGGATTAGCGTATCCCCAGGCTTCTAATGACGGTCTCACACGAGACCAGCTAGCCGATCAAATGGTCGCTTTCGCAAAGGAATTCGACCTAGACCGTCGTGTTCTACACTGTACGACAATCGCCGCAACCCAGTACAATCAAGAGGACAAGACATGGAATATTGAGATACAGACGGGGGATCTTAGACGCACCCTATCCTGCAAATGCATGGTTCTCGCCACGGGCGGCGCGGGCTTCGCGGGACCCGCGCCCCTTCCAGATCTTCCGAGCAGGGAATCCTTCAAGGGCCCCAACATACACTCGGAATCGTATCGTAATGCTAGCGACCTAGTTGCAGCGGGGGCGAAGGTCAGTTCTGAAGGCGTCACTAAAATATGACAAACAACTCTACCTGTCATTTTGCTAATGCCTTTCTTGTCTCGGGGTAGTCCGTCGCCATTATCGGCTCTGGAAACACTGCATTCGATGTCTTGGTCGACTGCCACGACGCCGGTCTCAAGACTACCATGGTACAGCGATCAGAGACGTACGTCGTTCCCATGACGTACTTTGCTCACCCTATGGGCTTTGGGGTCTACGACATCCTGTCCCCTGACGACGCGGACGTGATTGTGAATGGAGGCCCTTTGGCCATCGGCGGGGCCCTCCTGGGCTTGGTGCATAGGATTCAGGCACAGGAAGAGCCGTATGTACAGCCCCAGGAATCGTAATCCTGCCCCCTTGCTGACCTTCACTATCCAGGGATCGATATGCAGAAGCTAGGAGAGCAGGGTTCCGCGTGCAAGACTCGCTGACTGGCGACCTGCTCGTGAACCTCATCGATCGTTGCGGAGGACACTTTGTAGACATGGGCAGCGGCATGGAGCTCATCACAACGAAAAAGGCCGGTGTTCGGTCCGGGGTCGTGCCCAAGTCCTACACCGACAAAGGTCTGGTGCTATCCGATGGTAGTAATCTGCAGGCGGATGCCATAGTCTGGTGCATTGGCTTCGGCAACGTTGATGGCCGAAAAAACCTCCCAGATACTCTGGGAATCGGAGCCGAGGACATTGCAAGGCGTCTTGAGCCTACTTGGGGCGTGGACGCCCAGGGCGAGATTCGTGGGCTTTGGAAGAGGCACCCTGGAGTTGACAACCTCTGGATCTTTGCTGGTGGCACGGCTCAGCATCGATGGTTTTCAAAGGTGATTGCTTTGCAGATTAAGGGAGCTCTCGAGGGGATCCTGCCGGACGCCTACAGACGCACACCAGAGGCACCTGTTGGTAGCGATTGGGAGCGCGGAGACACTTGGGCTCCAAACCTGTAGATGAATGGGTTTATTGGTAAGGCTAGTCATTTGAAGTCAGAAATGCTATTGAATACGAGTCCTGGTTTACAGACAAGGAATTTCTCCAGGCCTACCTTGTCAATGCCTACCTAGGCTTTCACTCATTGAGCTAGATACCGTGTAAGTGCCGGCAAGCAGCGTAGGTCGAACTGTGGAGCCATGCAGTTCACGGCGCCAGTAGAATGAATGGGATTTCATCTTTGCGATGTTGGTTCGAGTTGAGATAGCCTCAATCGACGTCATCATCGGGAATGGGAATATGGGTATCTGCATTTCTCCATGTACGACACATCTTATTCATGACGAAAGAGAGGAATCGGCCAAAGCGAGCACATGCAATTTGGCAGACAATGCCATGTGCGGGGACTGTGTTCCTCGGCCGTGCGAAGCTTAGTCACACGGCGTTTTAGCGGCCGTTTCCTGAGCGTTATCGGCTTATCGGGGACGTGGACCCTCGGCTCGAGTCACGTCACCCTCCCACCTGTTGCCGAAAGCCTCCAGTGCTTCCCTCAGAGTCTATTAACCTCCACTTTCTTCACCCGCGCCTGATCCCCGGAGTATCGCCCTCTGCGCCACCAGACAATACCCACAACCGCAGCAAATTCCGTACCTCCGTCACCACCCGAACCACTTCACAAGGAAAACACCGCAGCTTGGCCCCCCTCCCTCAGCTGCTTTGGTCCCAAACATGGTCCTCCTAGACATCTCGTAATCCTCTCTGCTACACCGAGCGCGCCCCGACCGATAACGAGCGGAGAGTTTTGCACCATGTCGCACCAAGGCTTTCCCAACGAAGATGCGGCCATCACCCATCTCGTACACAATCTTGTCGAGAATGCTGTGCGCTCTGTCGAGGAAGTCCCAATTCCTTTGACGCGTGAGTTGATGGAAATCACCCGGATCTAGCTCCGGGTCCAATTAGCTAACATCTAGACAAACAGCACGAACTCCTACTCAGTGGCCCGTCGAAGAACTTGCGACCCGGGAGGCCCTGCGATACTCCATTAGCCCTAGTCACGTCAAGGATCTCCTCGACTTCTCCGCCCTCAACTACGTCGAAGAACCCGACGATAACCTACTCTGCCCAATCTGCAAGCTGCCCGTCATCACCCCGATCATTACGCCCTGCGACCATACCTTCTGCCTGGAATGTCTGAAGCGCCATGTTCACTCATCCGATACCTGCCCCATCGACCGGACGAGATTCCGAGCCAGGGACTGTAAGACGTCGAGACTTTTGACGAATATCCTCGATAGCCTGGTAGTCG